ATTTACAAATATAAGTCCTAGTACAATTTTACAATACTTGTAAGAAACTAATTTATACAGTAAGATTTAGATATATACATTTTAAATATCCTGTTTTTGTTATTATAAATCTAACTGTTTATATATTTTTTAAATTTAAAGTCCGTCGGATGGGACGTTAAATGGTCCCACTTGTCAAGGATAACAACCCCCTTGGCACGTTAAAGATCGTTTTTCTGGTTTTCGAAAAAGAGTAGGCTCACTGGGGGCGCCAGAGAAACCTAAAAAAATCTATCAATCTGAACTTAACCTTTTCTTGAAAATTTTGTAGTTTCTCAAACATGTTGCTAGTTGGTATGGTATATTTTAAGTCGGTCTCGTCATCCACTTCAAGTAGTTGACCGTTTTGTTTGGTATCAACACTGTCGGGTAAGTAGTATTGTGGAGTTTTGCTCGAGTCATTTACTTGATTTTCTTGCATTTTATCCATTTTCCTGTCGGACTCTAAATGTGCTGACAGTTCCTCAAGAACTTTTTGAGTTTTGTGGATTTTCTCAGATTGCTTAAGGATTTCCTTTTCCATGGCTTTTATTTGATAGTCTTTTTTCCTTTGCATTGTCTTTGAATGTTTGAAACATTGTATCATGTTCTTTATCTCTTTGTTTGATTCTTTGAAGTTTTCTCCAAATTACTGACACAATCCTCATTGCTGTTTAGTTTTCCTTCGACAGCTCTTAAAACATCTACATACTTTTCTAGCCTTGTGATTCTTTCTTCAGTTATTGTTACATGTTGTGATAACTTGCTCTCAATTGATTGAAGATGTTCACACATTTTTGCTTTCTTCGTGTCCCATGAGGTCCAGGAAGATCTGAGGTTTAGAGGGACACATGTGAAGACTTGCATAGATTATTGATAGTCTATGTCTGTTCGTAGGATCATTAATGACTATTCCTCATCTGGAGCAAATATCTCTGACAACATGCCAGAAAGAGCAGCGCAATGTGGATGACTTTGTAGAAAAAATAAATTTGCTACTTTCAGTAATGTCGAAAGCATTTCGATGCTGGAGAAGTTCCATTCCTCGGTGTACATCTTTCGGCACCAGAACTATAACAATTTTTCTGCCTTTATCACCTATATACACTAGTTTGTATTACCGCAGAAGATATTTGTCCGCCTTTATTTTCTAACGGCAGCCAGATATCAGCTAAAGCTCCGTCTCCGATGAGACTGTAGCTCTACTATTTATATCAAAGGGAGAGAAACGTAGCGCTTGCCGTTGAAACAGGAATAGAAAAAACTGGCCTTGTTGAGTCGATTTGTGGCAAGATGTATTGGTGTGAAAGGATTGTAATTTTAGAGGACAGTTCGAGGCCTGACTTAAAGGTCCGTTTAAATTAATTATCTTCAAAAATTTTACTCCAAACCATGAAAACTAGTAACAGTATATAAACAGATCTTACAACCGTGTATCGATGGCACTTTTCTTTTGCTAACAAGGCAAAAGAATCTATTTTAAAAAGTATTTCTGTCTTTTAATTAAGCATAATTTGATTTTCCCTCTTGGAATATTTTACCATATCATAAAAGCAAATAACTGAAAACTAATATGAAAATAGATTAGAATATAATGAAAAGGTGCGCTATTTAATAGAATAAAATATTGTAGGATATATTTTATTTAAAACATGATTTATTTTATTTGAAAAACATAGGTAATCAAAGATTACGAAGCTCACCTCGACGAAGGTTATCTATTTCTAGCTAGTGTTCATCCCACGCAGCACAGTTAAGGCTGCAATAAGGAGGCGGGGCCTAATTTTTACGGGAAATGCTTACTATGACATCACACAAAAATACATGTCCTTCAAATTACCACAAAATGAAATGATACGCTATTTTAAACTGTTGGATAGCTTTAAACTACATCAATACTTACTATTGCATGTATTTTTGTCGTTGGTTAAATCCCACATAGCAATATATAAACAATTCACTGATCGCAATGCACTTGTCAATGTGACGTCATATCGTAAAATTTAACGCAGTTTGTACGCAGTGAGAGGCTGATCAAGTTATATTTTATACAGTGAAAAATGTGTTTTGTAATTAAATAAAACATTATTTGCAGATATATAAGAGGCCATTAACTTGGATGTGAAGTCTATTTTAGGATTTTATTCATATACTTCCCGTACATTCCCTAGACAAGTGAAACTGCCGTACATTTGTATGCAGATTCATTGAAGGGTCGTTATAAATCGATATATTGCAAGGGCATACCCTCAATGAATTATGACAAGCTTTTACACATAAACTCAAGAAGTATGAAGATATTTGAAATGTGCTGCGAACCTGATGAAATCTTGCAAATGAATTAATTATATCTACATTTATTGTACTTGATCAGCAAAATATTCAACATACCGTCTAACAAATATAATTTTAGCAATTATATAGTAGAATCTATATAGGTTGCTTTTTGCTTTTTCAATAAAAATGGAGCTAAATATACGTACCTTGTCATTGGTCATTTGCAAAATTATTTTGTTAAAAAACATTCTGATTGTTCACACAAGTACTCTGAAGTTGACATTAAAAAGATGCTTGAGTTTCTGATTGACAATATCTATGTGGTTTTCGGAGATCAGGTCTTCCAACAATCTATTGGAATTCCCATGGGTACCAATTGCGCCCCGTTATTAGCAGACCTTTTTTGTATTCATATGAAGCAGAATTTGTCCAAAATCTTGTGCGTGAAAAGAAGAAAACACTTGCTGTGGCCTTCAACTCGACATTTAGATATATCGACGACGTATTGTCAATTAACAATGGCTATTTCCATTCTTATGTCGATACGATATATCCTTGTGAACTTGAGATAAAAGATACCACAGAGTCTGACACATCTGTTTCATATTTGGATATTTTACTTGAAAAAGACGTTAATGGTAATCTAACAACCAAGCTTTATGATAAACGTGATGACTTTAACTTTTCAATCGTCAACTTCCCTTACTTATGGTCGCCCGCGTGGCTTAGTGGTAGAGTGTCTACTCTAGAGTCGCGAAGTAAGGAGTTGATCCTTACGTTGCGGGTTCGAATCCCACTGTGGGACGTGGAGACCGGTCCTTCGGATGAGACCGTATAAACCGAGGTCCCGTGTCGCAGTAGGTGCTGGCACGAAAAAGAACCCTCACTGCTCAATGGCCGTAAGTGCCGAGTATAGGACAAAATTTGCAGCTCTCCACCGGCAAGCGGTGGCGTCTCCATGTGAGTGAAAAATTCTCGAGAGGGACGTTAAACAACATACAATCAATCAATCAATCCCTTACTTATGCAGCAATATACCTTCATCACCTGCATACGGGGTATATATCTCTCAGTTGATTCGATACGCAAGAGCATGCTCTACGTATGTACAATTTCTAAAACGAGGTAAATTACTGACAAATAAGTTGATGAAACAAGAATATCAGCTGTCTCCTTTAAAGTCATCATTTCGTAAGTTCTATGGTCGATACAATGACCTTGTCAGCAAATACAATCTATCATTGAGTCAAGTGCTGACTGACGTTTTTCACACTAATTGTTAGGCCATTATTTACACACTGAATTGTCGACGGATTTTTCCGTTATTTCCCGATCATGACAAGGAGCACACGGCGGGTGTGACCGGTCGGCAGGGGATGCTCACTCCTCCATGGCACCTGATCCCACCTCTGATGTTTGGAGGTCCGTGTTTGCTCTGCTCCTATTTTGTATTGATTAATGGACTTTTGAGTTTGAATACTGTTCGTTATCTCCATATATTTCATTCGCAGCACTTTTCACAAACTACAAAGAGTGTTGAAAATAACTATATATTAAACTTAGATTTTTAACTTGGTTATGCCCTTGCAATAGTGGAATTTATAGATGACCTCAATACTGCAGGTATATTTGCTAAAATCACGTGAATGCCACATTACGTGACAAATCTACACAAGAAATATAAACGTCCTCAACATGTAGTTTTTAGCCACATTATATTTGTCCGATAATAGTAAAGGCCTAAAAAGAATCGCCCATCCTTGTAAAGAATGTATTTTCTGTCGAAATAATTCGCCGATATTTCCATATGGCACCTTAACTGTACTGCGCAAGATCAATATCTATACAAGTTTGGTTTAAGACGGACTTATAGTTACTTGGAAATAGACCTGCTCAAAAAACTTTTAACCTGTTTACTAATCAAGAAAATTTTGGTCAATTCCAACCTCCAAAGCAAATATGGAAGTTTTCATCCTAAGATGCACCATCCATGCAAGTTTGGTCATAACGTAATATTATTATACCTCATATAAGTAAACACTAGTAAAATAGAATCTGATTGGCCGAGACAGTCACGTGACCGTCGGGTTTGCCCTGCAACAAAACTTCGTGTTCCACGTCGTGTTTGACGGCTGTGACGTCACAATACGGTGACTAAGATGGTTACTAATGAGGTAGATCGTTTATATCATTGATTGATTGTGTCGATTCAAACGTGTAAAATATATATATTTACAAAAGTGTTTTCACAGGTGGGGTTGTAATGTTACTAGTGTGTAAATTACATTGACTCGTCACGAATGAATGTTTTTATGAAGCGTGACTAGTGGTGTAACTAACATCTGTTTCATATTATTCTTATCACATGTTTTACTTTATTCATCGGATTTTCTTTGTTTTTCTTGCATTGTGCTTGATTCGGTATAATAAACAATTTATTGCATGAATGTTCGGGAGACATGAAGATTTCTTCGCCCTTGAAAAATCATATGATATGATTTTTCATGGGCGAAGAAATCTTCATGTCTCCTTCACTATCATGCAATAAATGTATAATATTATATAGCTACTCCAAAAACATTACCCTGGTCCCTCATCTGGAAAATGTAGGTCAGATTCAGAATCAAGAACAAGTCTGAAAGTGTCCATCCTAAAATACATCGTCCATGCTAATTTGATTAAAATATGGCTAAAATTAACTCATCTGGAAAATCTAGGTCAGATTCAGCATCCGAAGTAAGTGTGGTAGTGTCAATCCCTAGATGCATCATCCATGCAAGTTTGGTTCAGGTAGGGCTTATAGTTACTTGGGAATGGACTTGCTCCAAAAACTTTAACCTGGTCACTCATCTGGAAAATCTATGTTAGATCCAGCATTCGAAGCAAGTGTGGTAGTGTCCATCTCTAGATGCATCATCCTTGCAAGTTTGGTCCAGGTAGGGCTTATCGTTACTTGGGAATGGATCTGCTCCAACACCTTTAACCTGGTCACTAATCTGGAAAATCTAGGTCACACCCAGATCCGAAGCAAATGTGGTTGTGTCCATCCCTAGATGCATCATCCATGCAAGTTTGGTCCAGGTAGGGCTCATAGTTTCTTGGGAATGGACCTGCTCCAAAAACTTTAACCAGGTCACTCATCTGGAAAAACTAGGTCAGATCCAGCTTCCGAAGCAAGTGTGGTAGTGTCCATCCCTAGATGCATCATCCATGCAAGTTTGGTCCAGGTAGGGCTCATAGTTTCTTGGGAATGGACCTGCTCCAAAAACTTTAACCAGGTCACTCATCTGGAAAAACTAGGTCAGATCCAGCTTCCGAAGCAAGTGTGGTAGTGCCCATCCCTAGATGCATCATCCATGCAAGTTTGGTCCAGGTAGGGCTTATAGTTACTTGGGAATGAACTTTCTCCTAAAACTTTAACCGGGACGCCAACGCCTGGGGTATAGCATAAGCTCATCTCGACCTCTTCGAGGTGGGCTAAAAATGAAAACAGAGACCGATTTTCCCATTACTATCCGTCAGATGTAAATGATGTGTGATACACAAGGCATCTCCTTCGTAAATGTTCGGCTAAAATTGTCAGTTCAACAAATCGGCTACCTTCAAATGGATTGCTTAATAAGCGACATGAATTACACTCTTACGGGTCCATGTGTTTTATGATCTGCCTCAGGCACGGTCGGATTCTGATTTCCTTTGCACTCAGTCGAATTATTGCCTACTTTGAATCCATTGTTTTTCTGTCAACATCATGAAATGTACATGTCTGTTTTATAAGCGACATTTCATTCGTTCAATTGTGTAAATCGTGTGCCACTTAACTAGACAGGCCGCACAAGGGTCCGAACCTATACTTATTCCTTACGAGTTAACTAGGCTTAGAGCGTTACACTCAGGTATTGTCACGCTTCGGACAAAAAAAGCAAAAAACCCAATCAGGACACTAAGTACACTTAAAAGCTAAAAACTGGCATGCTTAGGGTATTTTCAGCCAGCTGACACCTCGTGTATGAATCCAATTTTGACTTGAATGACTCAATCGTCGGTGCTAAGGCAACTTCAGATGGTAGGTGTTTGCAGTTTAGTATTGTTCTCGGAAAGAAGGATGAGCGATGTGCATCTATCCGAGTGTGTGTTAGATGGAACGTGTGATTTCCTCTGGTCCTGCTGTCACTGATCTGCAGGAATAGCCACGAATGCATGTTTGATCTTGTATAGCAAACAAGTCTGATTTTCATTTTTGATCTGTAATGGTTCCCAGTGAATTCTTGAATTATCTGGGTAACGCTGCCCGGGTGGCGATCATATCATCATGAGAGTTTTGGGTGGCGAATCGTGCTGCTCTCCTTTGCGCCTTCTCGAGCTGGTGGTATTACTTGGAAGTCAAGAGACTCTATGCCGCTGAGGCACATTCAAGGATTTGTATATTATATGCTTATACAGAATCATTTATTGCATAGGTTTCGGAACCAAGTAAGACAATCCAAAGAACACAAGACACATCACGCCGACAGCTGACGACATCATGCATGATTCAAATGGAGCCAGAATATTCTTAAAACATGACATGAATTCTGGATAAAACTTGAAGAAAGAGCAATTTACATAACACAAACGACAGAAATGCAAGTTTAACAATTGGAAGGTATCTTTTCTCTGAAAAATGTAAACGATTTTAACGAACAGGAAACGATCTAAAGAAATCTATAAACAATAAAAAAAAAATGCTTAGAGGGCACTAAACACGGACCCCTGGAATTTCCAGACTTGGGATCTGTTGTCATCAAAACCTATAAAAAAAAAGACACTATTTCAAGAGTGGCATTTATGCCACTTTAAAGTACATTAAGTCGGGGGCTGTTTATTTTCTAAAGGTCTCACTGAATTTTCACATCCTTCAATGTCACGGATACGATTCCACAGAAACTTTTTTTTAATCTTCTTATCATCTTATTCCTAATCATGCCAACTATGTTACGAAGTTTTGATTGGATGTGTCATATACTCTTAATTACTGTATAAATACTTCGTAATATTGTATACAGTTGTTACAATTCTTAATTTCAAAGACAATTTTCAAGATCAAGAAAGTAACACACACAGAGGTATGCCATATTAGAATCATAATTATCTCTTACATTTTTATTAACTCATTTGTTACTTATATTTTTTATCATACTGTGACATTACTTGAAAATGAATTAGGCAAAGTCAGTTGTGCAAGCCTTTGTTTTTTTTTGTTTTGTATGTTGTTTAACGTCCCTCTCGAGAATTTTTCACTCATATTGAGACGCAACCACTTGCCGGTGGAGAGCTGCAAATTTTATCCAATACTCGGCACTTACGGCCATTGAACAGTAAGAGATCTTTTTCGTGCCAGCATCTACTGCGACACGGGACCTCGGTTTACAGGTTCTCATCCGAAGGACCGGTCTCCACGTCCAAAAGTGGGATTCAAGCCCGGGACGTAAGGATCAACTCCTTACTTCGCGACTCTCAGAGCAGACGCTCTAACCACTGCGCCACGCGGGCGACTGCAAGCCTTTGAATTTCAGTAAAGATCAAACGAAATTGGAAGATTGTCCCAAGAAAATGAAAAGTTACAAAGTAGAGTAAGGGTTATTCCAGTGCAATTATCTGCAAGGGGGAGATGAAATCCCATCCCTAACATAAATTTAAATCGGTGAAATTAGGCCATCATTAAAAATATCTTTGTTTCCCCTAACCCGTCTCTAAAATCTCAAGTTGGGTAGGTAGGTAGATAATTTTTTTTGCAACAGCAACTTTTAAATATTATAAACTTATATAAATTAATATATAATGGAATACAACCTTTAAAAATAAGAAAAGTACAAAGAAAACGATTTGTCAACAGAATTGTCACACCATTACCAGTGCCTTTTTAAGCAAACTTCAAGGTAAATTAATTCATAATTATTATTCAATTAAACTTGTAAAAAATATTAAAAACTTGTAAATATTAAAAAAATTATTTGTAAGTTGAATAATCTTATTAGAAAAAAAACTTTTCAGTCGGCGCGATTTAAATTGGTCGGTCGCGTGAGGGGAATCAAAGGTATTTTTTTATATTGGCCTTACCAGCATGAGTAGAAAAGCATTTATGCCATTTAAATGAATAATCGTATTGAACTGCCAGTAAATTCGTTTCTTAGAATTTTTTTTTTATGCATAGGCTTTTGCTGTCTCTATAAGCTCTGTCATTTAATTCGAGATGATTTAAAATAAATGTATTAATTCTCATGTAAAATTCTAAAAGAATCTTGATTTCACACATGTAACTAAGTTTGAAACTCGAGACGAGTTGAATTGGTGTTCATGGGCAAGCAGAATTATACGGATTCATGTGATGTTATTTCATTGTGAACCTTTTTATACAAAAGATGCAATGTATTGACAAAGTATTCTTTTGTGGGATGTATATAAGTTGGTATGAGGTGACCCACAAAATCATGAACATTGGTCTTCCAGAAAGATGATTCCACAATATCTGACAACATTAAACAAGAGGCCCACGGGCCTTATAGGTCACCTGAGTATCATGCAACAACTTCGCCACAATGGATTCATGTTTTAAACCAGAGGCCATGAAATTCACAATTTCGAAAGAGGCACACTTGCTCATCATAATTTTACATTTAGTAAGCTTACTTAATACCCAAAAAGAGAGCAGAGGATTATCAAAGAATTAATGCATTTTCACTATGTAATCATTAGAGCCCCCCCCCCCCCCTAACACCAGAACCATGATGCAGGGGCCATAAAATTCACAATTTTGGAAGAGGCATCCTTACATATCATAACAATACTCTTAGTTCATCAGCTTAATACCCAGGAGAAAAGAAGAAGATTTTCAAAGAATTATTGCATTTTTACTATGTAATCATTAGAGCCCCACCCTAACACCAGAACCCCTGACCCAGGGGCCATGAAATTCATAATTTTGGAAAAGGCACCTTTACTCATCATAACTATGCATCAGTTTGTTTGTTAAATACCCAGGATCAAAGAAAAAGATTTTTAAAGAAATAATGCATTATCACTATATATTCAACAGAGCCCCACCCTAACACCAGAACCCCTGACCTAGGGGCCATGAATTTCACAATTTTGGAACAGGCACCCTTACATATCATAACTATACTCTTAGTTCATCGGCTTAATACCCAGGAGAAAAGGAGAAGATTGTCAAAGAATTATTGCATTTTTACTATGTAATCATTAGAGCCCCGCCCTAAAACCAGAACCCCTGACCAGGGGGCCATGAAATTCACAATATAGGAATAGGCACCCTTATTCATCATAACTATGCCTTCAGTTTGTTTGCCCTGGATCAGAGAAGATTTTTAAAAGAAATAATGCATTTTCACTATACATGTATAGTCAACAGAACGCTGCCCTAACACCAGAACCCCTGACCCTGGGGCCATGAAATCGACAATTTTGGAAGAGGCACCTTTCATCATCATAACTATGTATTTTGTTTTCATAATATCCAAAAGCACAGAAGAAGCTTTTTTAAGAAATAATGCATTATCACTATATATTCAACAGAGCCCCACCCTAACACCAGAAAACCTGACCCTTGGGCCATGAAATTCACAATTTTGGAAGAGGCACTCTTTCTCATCATAACTATGTACTTAGTTCATTGGCTTAATACCCAGGAGCAAAGGAGAAGATTTTTGAATAATTAATGCATTTTCACTATATAATCATTAGATACCCGCCCTAACACCAGAACCCCTGACCCAGGGGCCATGAAATTCATAATTTTAGAAGAGACACCTTTCTTCATCATAACTATGCATATTGTTTGTTTCCTAAATACCCAAGAGCAGAGGAGAAGATTTTTTAAGAATAATGCTTTTCACTACATATTCAACAGAGCCCCACCCTAGCACCAGAACCCCTGACCCTGGGGCCATAAATTTCACAATTTAGGTAGAGGGCTCAATGCTTATTACATTCATGCCAACAGTTTGCCTGCTTGATGCCCAGGAGTTAAGAAGAAGATTTTTAAAGATTGCATTAATTCTGATGGTTTTAGCCCCACCCCTCAGGCCCCAGGGGGGTAGGGGTCATGAATTTCACAATTTTTACTCCCCTTCACATATAGATGCTATGTGCCAAATTTGGTTGAATTTGGTTCAGTGGTTCCAGAGAAGAAGCTGAAAATGTTCAAATGTTAACGCACGACGGACGACGCACGCCGACGGACGAAAACAGATAGCGATAGGTCACCTGAGTAAACTCAGGTGACCTAAAAAAGAAACATTCCAGTTCAGATGTAATCTGTATATTAGAACTTCCAGTCCTTCTGAAGTGTTGCTCTACACCCTCCCCAACAGTAAGCCATTGTCGACACCAAAGTCTGCATTTC